ATCATTTTATTCAACCAATAGAATTTAATAGTTTGTAACAGTTTGCACTATTTGATTGATTAGAAACAAGGTTAAATTTTGTTGTTGTAATTAGTGTACTGTTAAGGGCCAAATTGATATTAGATTTTACATTTATTTTGTGAAATTTTTGCAACTTAATCGATCTAAATAATTGAAAATGTATTCATTTAATTGGTTAAGTATCCTTAAGTGATTTTGTAGGCTTAATCCAGATAAAAAAGCTCAAAATTCGGGCAAGACTCGCTCACATTCAGCGCACACATCACGCTCAACAAATTTGATAATATCTCATAGCTGCATTTAGAACCAGTTTCGCGCTTAGCGGAAGGAAAGTCACGCTTAGTGCCATCCCACGCTGAACATCTAAATTAAAAGAGTTGACACACTGTCAGTCCATTATCTAATACTCATTTTTAATAATCATTAACTCTTTAAAAAGAATAATATAAATAAACGATAGATGATATAGTAATATATAAATCATTATAACATATAAATTTGACTCTTTATATTAAACCAAAGCATTGGAAACAGAAGAAAAGATTCTAGACGAATACATGTTGTGCAAAAAAAAGTATATGAATGAATATTTAATGAGAAACTTTAATGTGCTTGATCAAGTTGATTTTTTGGATTAAATCTGGTCAGGTTAAAATTCCACCATTTGAAGAGTTTCGTGATAGTTTTCGCATATTACAATTTTTTTTAAAAAATTCAAAAACATATAAACAAATATTATTTAAATAATAAAATAATATCTATACATGTTTCAATTTAATATTATATATAAATAAAAATAAAAATAATGCATAGTTAATTTAAAAATTACTCTAATATTAAAGGAGGTAAACCAAGAATGACATTTTTTGGGGTTTTAGTTATAAAAAATACATCAAAGCTTGACAATTATCTTTGAGTAAAAGAAGAGTCAACTTAATTGCTAAAAAGTAAGACATAAAATATGAATACTCTAATTGGAAATGTACTTGATTCTAAAATTTTGTTTTTTATCATAAAAATTTTCTCACCATAACAGATGAAAACATGTCAGACCGCATATCAGAGTCATAATATCTAGCCTATAACATGTCAGGTTTTTTTAGTAAACAGGTCAGACTTAGACCTCTAATAGCATATTTACCTAAATATGTCAGACTCGTGTCTTTTAAAAAACATATTATGCCTAACAACCCGACCTATGTAATGTTATTATATATTTATAACTTTTGGATGATATAACATTTAGACAACACTGTACCAAATTTAGTACTACTTAGATGTTATTTGGATGTTATTTAGCAATTTAGTATTGTCTTTTGAATGTTTTTTGGACAACAATATCATATTTGGAAACTAAGTTGTTAATGATGTTAAACATTACATCAGTATCACATCTTATTATGATATTAGAAGATATTGTTTTGTATTTTCTAACCTCAAGGGCACCACAAATAATTCGAATATATTACACAACATTGGAAAATGATGAAAATAATTGTGATAACAATGTAAAAAAATTCACACTAATTGTTATAGTTATAATAATTTTTCGTAGTTTATACATAATGTGTTGATTTCCTTACCTTAACAAGTCTTTAAACAGACTAACATATCGTACCAGACTTTTAAACATGTCAGACCTAGGCTTTTAATTTTTTTAAAACATGCTAACAGACCAGGCCCAAACTTCTATATATTATATAGATTCGATCTGTTTAAGGCAAAATCTGACCTAACATGTTTCCACCCTTAGATAAGAGTAATATAGGTATACACACAAATGGTACAAGATGAAGATTACATACAACCAAACCACCTAAGGGTATGAGTAAGACCATATAAATCTCACACGACTCTCATTTAACTTGTGAGGCTTTGGTCTAGAAATCTTTGGGGTGGTCCTCTAGTGGGACCAAGGGGATTGAAAAAGGTGAAAAGTGCTAAGAATAATAAAGTCCCATGCATTTCTTTCACTATGATCCCATGCAACTCCTACAAAATGAAGATGACAACATGTGTCAGCAATCACATATTTTATTCAAAAACAAAGGCTAAAGTTACAGTCTCATATTGTTGGCTTGTACGTTGTGGTGAAAAAACGCTCAAACACATGAAATCCATGATTTAAATCGATAATTGGTCCACCAAATTAAACTTTAGTACCCCACCTCCTCTCAAGTTTAAAAAAAAATTTAACTTGAAAACTTTGAGGACAACCAACAATGGAAGAAAAGAACAAGAGCAATGTATGTCTTCAACAGCGCATACTAGAATAATACTGTTAAATTTGAGGCGGAGGAAAATAGACAGCTCATCTTTAAGAAATCGCTGTTAATATTGATAGGTGGATATAACATCAACAACACAATTGTGAATGTATGTTCTTTAACAGCGCCTATTTTTGTTTACGCTGTTGATGAGATATATTCTACTGCGCATTCTTCAATATTCGTTGTTGATTATCTTATACAACGCTTGCTACAATATGCTTTGTTGTTACCTTAACATTATCAAAAATACATTCATTATAAAACTTGTGAAATAAAAAAGAAATAGTAAAAATTGTTTTTTTTAATTTCGCGGTGCATCTTTCTAATGAAGTGAGAAAATCATGAATTTGTCATCTACATTTTCATCACATTCGTCCTTTTCATTACTGCATATGGTTAACAGAGACATGTTCACGCAATAGTTTGATCTCATTCTTATTATATTAAAGCTTCTTATATGTTTGATAAAATGTATGAAAGAGATCTTGCCTTATTTAATATGAGTGCGATTAAATGAGTGTTGTTAAGGGTGACATATCAACAACACTCGTGATGATAGCTATTAAAAGTCATGTACATATATAACAGCGTTTGTTGGAGACGACACTGTTGTATATATGACATACAACAGCGCCTGCATAAGCGCGGTTAAAACATATCATCTACTACTTCACTCACATAGATAGCGCTTGAAAACGTTGTTTTATCCCTAAAATTGTGTGCTGTTAATTTACCTATATGGCGTAGTGCATGTTGTTGCCATTTCATTTTGTTCAATTGATATTTTAGAAGGATAATATATATATATATATAGTGTAGGAGTTTGCTAACATAGAGAAAGTGTTGAGAGGATGAGAGAAAGTTAGAGATTTGAAAGTTAGAAAGATTAAAATGAAGAGGGAGTTGAAGTTTAGGGGTGTGAGGTGAGATAAAATTAAATTACACGAACACTCTACTTATTAAAACATGTTACTTGTTACACAACAACTTTAAGGGTAATTTTGTCCAAATATTTTGGTACACCTTGCTAATATGTATCTAACTGAATTCGGTGTAGTCAAACTCTTTGGTGGAGGTTAAATGAGGATATTCAAGTTAAGAAAATATATTATCATTCTGTGTTGTTAGACATATAAAATCTGAACCATTAAAAAATGTTATACCACATGTTAGTGTATTCATCACTGATACAGAAGGATCCAATATTGAAGAGAATTTCTACTTATATTAAATATTTTCCCCTAAAAGTTCTTCCAATACTAAGGTAAGTATTGGATAAAAGAGAATATACCTACATTGTTTTAGAAATATAAAAAACATGCAACTATTTCTTTACTTAATATTAAGAAGAATTTTAAACTAAAATTTTGCTAGGATACATGTATCATTTCTCTTTTTTATACACCTCTATTTTTCTTCACTGCCAAATTGAAACTGAAATCCAACTGTTAAAAGGCATTAGACACGTTACCCATGGAAAATGTTATCATGGTCATTACCCTAAATATATAAATAATTAAATATATAAACATTATACTATAGATTAATTATATTTAGTGAGAGGGACGAATTGACATCTCCTTTAAATTTTCACAAAACAGAAGAAAAAATTACAAAAATATTCTTGATATTATTTTTGATCGGCAAACGTAACATTATTATATGTGAATGAGAGTTATAAGTAGATACAATATGTTATAAGGATGTGAAAGGAAAATTACAAAAGTTCAAGATATTGTGGTTAAAAGGATGAGTAAAGTCAAAAACAAATTTATAAGAGATTCACAAGATTATCCAATTTGAATAAGACATTGTGTGCTTGCTCTTCTTCTCAATAATTTTAACCCTAAGTGGACACAGAAACATATAAGAATAAAATACTGAATCTTATTTAATTTGGGTTTCTGGGAGCACATTATTTAGATACATACATATTTTCTTTAAGAGAAGCTAACAAAGTACTCACTATTCATAATCCAAGAAATGTAACTATATGAAGATTACTTTCAGAAATATACTATCCTATAACTACTCACCTTAATTGGTTGTTAATTCCATAAGTTACAGTGTGATACTAAAGAAGTTTATTTTTTTTTTGTCAGAATTAAAAGATGTGTCATATATCTATATCTATACTAATATAAAGGGAAAACACAAATAATTACTCATGATTGTGTAATTTATTGTTTCCTATTTTGCCATTACTAATCTATATTTTCTACCAAAAAAATCATATAACCTATTTTCTCATTTTATGTTTCATGTTTGTTTATGTAACTTTTACAGTTTTTCAATTTTAACACGACAGTTTTTCTATATGAATCAAGACAATATTTGAACACGATAATTTATCATTTTGATTTTTTAACATGAAAAATTGCAAATCATGTTTTGTTGATTTTATTATAGCTATGAAAAATGTAATAAAAATATACAAATAAATTACAATTCACTCAATAGAAAAGCGAGTTGAGAGACACGCTAGTATGATCATAAAACACAAAATCATATCATTGATATGAAAAATATGTGAGTTGCTTAATCACTTATAATTTATTATCAATGAAGACTAAGTCATCCCTATCATTTTCCAATCAGTAATGAAACTCTTCATTAGAATGGAACCAAACAGTGTTTGATTTACCAACTTGAGATCTAAGGATCAAGAGGATACATGATAAGGTAGAAGAGTAAAGTGAGATCAATCAGGTTGACCGTAATGAAGCCTGGTCCGAGGTCACATAAAAGGATCCGAAAGATGGAAACCCTAAATTAACTCAAATAATTTGAGTCCTTATCATCCATATGTGAACTTGGACCAGACAACATTCCGATCAACCCTAAACTCCCATTATATGCATTGCATTGCCGGCCATAACTCACTCATTCTAAAAATGAAAAAAACCACAAACCCATTAATAATCTGTATACAACGTTCTATATATGTTGCAGTGGTAGAACTCTTGTCATTTATATATTCCTAAACTTGTTTGGGTAGAATTTTAGAAAGTTGTCAAATGTGTTTTAATTATTTAATTATTTAAACAAGATAAATGATGCATCGTGACCATTTAAAGAATGACTTGGGGAAAAGAAATGATATGTTATGACTCGTGATTCTTCACTATCTTTCAGATGACAATTTTAGAAAAAGAAATGACTTATAATCTTTATGACAAAATACTATATTTCTATTTTTTATTATAATAAAATAATTCTAAACAATATGAGTCACACATCATTGTCATTCAAGAGAAAAATGTGACTCATCACAATTCTTCTTCCATTCTTACAACAAATTGTTTATTTTTGGATCCCTCACTCTCACTTGGAAAGAGGATAGAGTAATACTAATACTAATAACTTCTATCACGCCTCAACTCGAATATGAAAGGAAAATACAACACCTATCACAAAAAATTTCTCTTAATCCTTCCAATAATTACATATCTTTAATTATTTAACATTTAATAATTTAATGTATTAAATGTTTTTATTATTTCCTTTATTTAATAATATAATAATAAATAATACTCTACCTATTCAAAATAATTGTCTACTAATATAATCCAATTATTATTATTTCAAAATTAAAAGAGTAGTGGAGAGTAAATAATAAGAGATAAGAATAAAATTTAAAGAGTAAAATATGAAATGAATATTATTATTTCAAAATTAATTGCATTTTTTAATATGTGTTTCGTTTATTTGGGACAATTATTTGAAAATGAATGGAGTAATGTATTAAATTAAATATATAATATATTTTTTAAATAATTAATAATAAAAAATTATTAAATAATATATATACTGTATTTTAAATAGTAAAATATTTAATAATTAAAAATAACGTAATTGCTTTGAGGGCAGGGGGGAAGCATGGAAGGGACGGGTGGGGGTAGCTCCTGTTTTTAAGTTTTATTTATTAAAATACTTTTTTATATTTTTCATACGGGAATACATATGTTGTTCCACAAAGTGTGTTACTTCATGTGTAATTTATTGTGTTTGACCATAAAATTACTTCATTGTTAAACTTTTAAATTATAAAACATGGCACATAGAGTAATACAATTTTTGGAGCATATATATTGATTATACTTACACCCAATGATGTATTTATGGAGATTCTAGTTGGAGCTCATATATTTTTTAATTTGTAGCTTCATTTAATATTGAGAATTTTTTGTCCAAAAATTCTATTTTATGAGTTTCAATGACCAATGAAGATTAGTTTGAGATGTCAATATCAATATTTTATTCTTGGTGTCATTAGTTATTCAAGTTTGAAATTTTTTCTACCATATGTCCTTATCGTTCAAGTGTGAAATTTTTCCTACCATATGTCATTAGTCATATATTGCATTATCAAGTTATTCGTCTTATCTTATCTACTGTGTTCAACTACTACATAAATATCATTTTCATCAATGAAGTCAACTAAAGAAAATTATATAGTAAGATAGAAAATGAATTTATTGCCTACAACATAATGTTTTATATTGGAAAAGAAATAATTGAAAATTTTATCTACCATCTAATCATGTATATTTGTTTATATTTTCGTTATTCAATTAATTTAAATTATAAGTTGTAATTAAATTTTGTTGCCCCTTTGATCAAGATCTGCCACTATTTGAGGGATTAAGAGGATGGTTGTGACAAGTGTTATATTTATCTCTCCTCTTCGAGTTGATACATGATGATACTTGTTATTAGTAATATTTCTTCCATTTCTCTATTAGGAGATTTGATTCAAGCAGAATTTTGCTTCTTTTAGCTTAACCTTTGTACAAAAATGATCCGAAAAATATCAAATATAATTAAATAGTCCCTTTTATAATTTTTATGATCACTTTCATATATTATTTTGACTTACATTCACGATCTTTAAGTATTAGTTTGGACTTTTAATTTTTCCGATGGTCAAATTTATACTTTCAAATAAGGATTTACTCTTATATATTTAAAGGTGTAATATTCTTCTTTTTGTTTGAGGCAAATATGATATCCTTATGTAGGGTGTAATAGGGCATATTCAAGACTTCAATTTAGAACACCAGGAAATTTGTTAATTGTAGAATCTAGCCTAACATGACACATTTTACCCATACTCATAGAAACAATGTGAGCAATATTAAATAATATGTGGATGATCAATTATATTTATTTTAAGGCCTATTATACAATTGTTAGATTAATGTGTCAAACAAAATTATTTATTTATGATATATAGTAAATGGATCGAGTATTTAATCCATATACAATGATGAACTTAAACCAGAATGAAGAAGTACATGAAGTATAAGGAGAAATAACCAAAAGTGAAAGGACTATAATTTACATTAGCAAAAAAACCAACTATTCCAAGCCCTAAATTTGTACAACTTTTCTTATAAAGAGTCAAACCCTATATCTCTTTTACTTTTCACCCTCTATCTCTTTATGCATTTCAGAAAACTTATCTGCAAACCAAAAAAACAACTTCAAGTTGTTAGAATTTGAATGTAAAATAACATTATTGAATCAACTATATATAACACCAAACCCAAACATTATAAAAGAAATTGAAAAGGAGGAAGAAGCATACCCTTGTGAAGCTAGAACCATCTTTGTTGAAATTTTGTAATTAAGTATATATATATATATATAGATATAGAAGTTACCACCATGAGAGATTTTCTTATCAAGAGTTGCATTAAAATATATATACAATTTAGTTTACGTGACTACCATAATTTATCTTTCTTTGGATGATTATAGAAGATTCAAATTCGTATGTATAGATTTCCCTTCATTGATGATGATGCAGTTGTAGAAAATTATTAATCTTTTTTTATAAAAATCAATAGCATTAGCATATAACATAAATTAAATTTCTTTACCAATGTGATTCACTAAAGCAAGAGAATCCAAAGAAAGACACATTGATTAAAGGAAGGAGGGCATGGAAAGAGAGATTGATTAGGTCGATTGAAATGAAGCCTGGTCCGAGGTCACATAAAAGACTCGCATCAAAATCCGATTGCTTTCTTTATTTCAAGGGTACAAAAAAATTGAAACCCTAGAAATCGATAAAGCTTCGAAGTCTCGAGCCATAGTAATTCATATGTGAACTTGGACCAGGCGACATTCCAATCAACCTCAAACCCTATTATGTAAAGACATGTTTGTTGATCTCTTTCAAAACAATGTAGTCTTCTTATATAGACAAGGTTGAGTGTTTAAAAGGGTGAGAGAGAGAATAAGAGAAGCATGACATTTCTGTCTTATTCTCTCATTTGAAACGCGTTTACCATTGGAAAAGGCAATGTGGAATGAGGTTATGGCCGGTGGTGGACCTTAATAGCAGTGCTAGCTGCCCCACACAAAAAAAACAAAAAAAATAAAAATATTACAAATATTATAAAAAAAGAACAACGATCTTTTTCATCAACGGAGAGACAAATATTTGATTTTACTTATAATTTTAATGACAAATGTGTTATTCTATTATATATATATATATAAAAAGATAAAATGTGTTATGGTTTCGTGCTTTATTTGTTTGAGCATATATGTGAAGGACACCGATTGGAACAATTGGTTTAAAATTTTTAGGAAAATTGATGGTTTAGATCTACTCACTAATTGAAACAATTGTATTGCCCTAGAATTGATGGCTAAGATGTGAAGTAAGTTTAAAAAACTTACTTTTTGAGTACGTAGATCCTCTCCCTATAAAAATATTATATATTGCACCAATGAAATAATGTTCAGAACATGCTTGGCTGGCATGATAAGTGATGAGGTTAATTTGAAATTCAAAATCATATTATGGGAACTTTTTACTTTCTTCCCTATTTTTGATTTTCTTTTAATTCATTTTAGTAATTACTTATTTAAGTATTTAAAGTAAATGGAAGGAATTAAATAATAATAATGATTATAGTAAATTATATTAACACTACTGAGTTTTAGTACAATTACACAAAACACTCATCTTTTTTTGTTCTTACACAAATATCAATAATTTATATACATACATTACTCATTATTGCTGTAGGGAAGATGAATGTAATTTTTTAAACAAAAAAGAGTGATGAATGTAATTGAATTAAAAAAATGTTATATTATAGAGACAAGTCCAAATAGTATAAGAGTTAATGTTTCTTCATTATGTTTAGTACATTAAAAATGCATGAATAATACTAAGAATACGTTGTTTAATTTAAATCACTCTATACTATTTTGTAACGAACCAAAAACAAGGAAGATACTTTGTTTCTTATAGTATTTGAAATTGTCTACACAAAATATCATATTTTATTTAACTTAATTACATTCATCACCACTTTTGTTTAAAATATTATATTTATCTCTCTTATAGAAATAGTCGGAGCATATCAGATACAGGTGGGGCAACTTCCCCTTGATTATTTTTTCAAATTTATTAAAATATTAATTTTTTATCTTTTTACTTATACTCAAATGATGTCTTCTTGAAAATACTGATTGACGTTTATATTTTTCTTTAATTAGTAGTTTAATAAATATTTATAATGTAATTTGCATGGTCCTGGATAACGAGTCAAGTTCTCTTACATGTGTAGAAGTTGATATTGTTTATATCAATATTATTAAAACCGTACCGGTTATAGGGTACTGGTACAGTGGTTCAACCAGTGGTTCAGTAATTAAACCGCATGCCGGTTAAACCGGACATATTTGCTTATATATATATATATATATATATATATATATATATATATAAAACTATAACAAAAAATTTCAAATAAGTAGATATTCATATTTATAATCTATATTCATAATTTACTTCAAATTCACACAAACAAACAA